ACTTTTCTTTCTTATTCTCATTTAAAATGTCTCGCTTTAATAAATAATTATCTGAATCTTACAACCAAAGTTTTAATCTGATGTAAAATGTATAGAAGTCCATTACTGTATATAGTAACTAATAAGTCTAATATACCCTAGTAAGCTAGTACTTTTTCCTTCAGAAATGTACCATCTGTGCAGTCTGCAATTCTGTTGAAGTAAGATGTTGAAGCTATTTAATTATTGTGGAAAAATAATTGATTTCTGAGCTTTTTTTATTTTAATATTTTTATGCGTGAGTTAAATTAAAGTTGATTATGTTGATTAAGCATCACGAGACAGAGGGTGCTTAATATTTCTGAGTACTCTTTAAAATACCAGAATAGGGAGGTGGTTGCAGGTTTAAGTGTATTAGATTGATCAGTTTTGCTGAACTATGAAATATTTGGGGTGCAGTGTATGTTTTGCATACAGGTTTAAAAGAATAGCTTTAGTTAAAACTTGAGTATGAACTTATACAAAATGCAGCAAGATATTAAAAAAATAGTTTTATTGATTAAGAAATACACTATATCAGATTCATATCGATATCGGCAGATATTCAAATTTATGATATCGGTATCGGACATAAAAAAAAAAAAAAAAAGAAGTGGTATTGTCCCATAAATGTGTGGCACTTGTAGGTTGCTTTGCTTTCACCCTTTTGTCCAGTTCATCCCAAACCAGCTTGATGGTGTTTAAGTCTGGAGGCTGTGCTGGCCACTCAATGTCTTCAAGCTTACAACCTTGTTCGTTCTCCTGAGGTACTTCTAGCGTAGCTTGGAACTATGTTTTGGGTCATTATCTTGCTGTAGGATGAACCCCTGACCAACTAGGCGCATACCAGAGGGTACTGCATGGTGCTGCAGAATGCTGTGGTAGCTGTTTTGGTTCTGGGTGCAAAAAGTCCCAGACCTTCACACTTCCTCCATGTTTGACAGTTGATGCCACCACTGTGGAACGATCCTTGCACCTACTTAATGGTGTACAAAGATCCTGTGTGATGAAGCCAAGATTTCAAATCCATTTTCATCAATCCATTATACATTCTTCCAGTCTTCAGTAGTCCAATGGCAGTGTTTCATGGTCCAGCCAAGCCTCTTTGTCTTATTCTGAAATCTCAGCAATGGCTTTCTTGCTGCAATTGGTCCTGTCAAACGTGCAGCTTGAAGTCTTCTCTTCACAGTTGCAACTGAGACTTAATTACTACGACCACTATTAAGCTGTGTTTGAAGCTGATGTCCTTTGAGCAGCCTATCAGCTGTTAACACTCAGAAACTTGTCCTCTGATTCAGTTGTGGCTTTGGGTCTGCTAGACCTCTTTCTGCCAGTTTTTCTCCAGTTTCTGAGTGCCTTTTGATGGTAAAGGAAACTGTACGCACTGACATTTTGACTTTCCTTGCAACTTCTCTGTAGGAAAGACCTACATTTTTAAGTGTTATGATAGTCTGTCCCTCTTCCATTGTTAATTGCCTTTTCCTCACCATTTTTGTAGAAACACAGTACTTTCTGCAGCACAAAAGTGTTCAGCTGATGCTCACGAGGGTATGGTATCACAGTGTGTTCCAACACTGCTTTTATGCAGACAGGATAGTTGTAACAGTTGGAACACCTCTAGCTTTCAAGGCCTGATCAACCTCCACTGCTGTAGAACAGCTTTAAATTATTAACCCATTTTGTGTTCCCTGAAAA